GTACAGGCTTGGCTGTGTCAGGTTTCCTATGAAAGTAAATAGACTTCCCTTTGATACTCTCTCCCTATCCATAGTAGCATTGTTGATAACCCTAGTAAAAGACATTTAAGAGAAATGTTAAGCATGGAGTCTTGTTTTAGGTCCTTTAGCTACTGCTGAACTTGGAGATGCTCATCTCTGAAGTTAGCCTGTGACGGCTCTAACTTGATCTCTGCTGGAATATCACTTACGAAATATACTCTCTAGTGACTTGTCTTAAAGATTTGAGATCTTGCCCCTTTGGACTTCCTGTGAAATTGTGGTTCCCTCCGTCGGATTGCAGCTTTCTGGAGCTAGTTTTCTTTCGTGCTTTGAAAGCGTCGTACGTTATTAATCTTGACCAACTTCCAAAATTGATTTTGGCTCTACCAATTCACCAAGAGGAAGTCTTTATTTATTTTTCTTATGTATTTATTATTCATATTACTCAGCACAGCCACAGGTCTGGCAGGTGGCTACCTAACCCGTGCTGCTTTGCATCTGAAATTGGGAAGTGGAAACTTAAGTTGTGCTGCTATCACGTTTTCATATACAGTATTTGTCAAGTGAATGCTTGAAGGCAGCTAAAAACTTTTGACCTTCTTTGGTCTACTGGTCCCTGCAATTGGCCTTTAGTAGGGGTGGTCAATATGCACTTGCCCTGTCATTAAAAAAATGAATATAAAACTACTCCCTTAGTACCAAGATATGTCTTGGCAGAGTGGTTACAATGCAGCATTTCAGGCTGACACTGCCCACTGCCAGGAGTTCGATCCTGACCGGCTCAAGGTTGACTCGGTCTTCCATCCTTCAGGTCAATAAAAGGAGGACCCAGATTGTTTGGGGACAAGAATGCTGACTCTGTAAACCGCTTAGGGAGGGCCGTAAAGCATTGTGAAGCGGTATAGAAGTCTAAGTGTTATTGCTATCTGACAGCTGAATACTGAGCCCATCTAGCATAGCAGATAATCCTGATCATCCAGATGGATGACTTTCACTATCACTGAGATTTAAATGCAAGTAGCTGATAGACCCATCTCTAGTTCCTCATGCTTAAAGAGGGCTTGGCCACTGTGTGCAGTAGTGTGAATTTGTGATACGGAAGAACATTTCATTCACAGGATAAAAAGGCAAAATCCGCCCAGGCATATTAAAACTTTTACAGCGGTCACATTTTTTTAAAAAAAGAATTCATATTTTGTGTTTATCCCACTGTAATCAACCAAATCTTAGTGGCCAAATAAACAAGTAGATTGTTTCACATGTCTTCAAAAATAGTTTTTAAGAATGTTGTCAAGCCATATAGGTAAGATCTAGAATCAGGTTATGTGAACTGAAACCATTCGGTTCCTCACTACAGTTGTGCAAGGATTTGCAAGCTTCATTAGGACTTAAACGGAATGCTCCTATGTGCTACATATCAAATGTCTTGGACTTCACTTCTTACTGGTTGATGTCCAGAGAGAGGTTTTTAGTTGGAATTAGGGTAGATATATTCCATCTCTTATAAGCTGGGTATAATAATCACCAGTGAAGTTAGATCTCAGTTCCCCAGGATGATGCCCTCAATGTATTTCCTGCAGTGTCCATTGAAAAGGGAGGATGAAGTGGCAGTAACCAACCTCTAGTGCCATTTTTATTTGGAGGAATACTTGGAAGATCTTGTGTGTGCCCGAGTCATCCACAGGAGATGAAAACTCTGACCCCTGCCACCCTTTAAAGTATCTTGTGAAAGACAGACACAGGACATTTTAGTCTCTATACCCAACTATTCGCTTAGCATTTAATCTAAGCAAGGCACCATCAGATGGATATCCCTATGGTAGTTCATCAGGAAGCACCTATCAAAATTATTTCTGTATGCTTGATAAAGATTCAATTAAGCTGGAAATGTAGGTCTTACTTTCAGCTTGGAATTGAAAAGGGGTACAGGTTGAGTTCCATGTGATGCTCCCAGAAACAAGGAGACAGTCTCAACCGTCTTTTGTAGACATGGACCTGGTTGTAGCAATTACACCCGATTTAGTTGAGCAGCTACATAGCCAAGGAAGAACTGGACTAGCGAGTGTATGTCACTTGCTGGGCAAACAGGTAAGAGACCTCTAGCTTGCTTGTTGCAAAGCCTCAGGTGATAGGGCCTGAGACGGCCTGCAGGCTTCGGGGGAAAAAGGCTGTGAATGATCAACCCTGTATTTAGAATTGTCCCTAGCAAATTTCTGTGTGTATTGATTACCTACTGTAACACAGCCTCTACACGTATTGGCACTGCAGCTTCAAGAATTGAAACCATCAAAATGGCTGGGCGTTTGGGACGTTGTAGCATGGACATACCTGGAAAAAAAGAGGGGGCGAAATATCTTTTGGTATTAGCACATCTTTGTGCTTAAACGCTTCTTTAGTATGTGAAAGCAGAAATGAAACACGACCTTGACCAGTGAACCAGTCTGCAAATGCAGTCTCTCAAAAAGAGGCCCACGCAGTGATTTCCCAGCTGTTTCCAGAATAGTTGTATTTAGAAGCAAGTTTGCTTTTCTGATGGGGCTTTGATTTTACAAATGGTAGCCCTGTCCTAGGAAGCTGGAAGGTGTAAACATATTCATGGCTAAGTCGAGGATTAGCTCAGGATTAGAGACATTAATAAAAGCTGAACGACAGAAAAAAGCTGATGGTCTTACAACTTGGCTACTCTCAGCTGGGAGAACTTTGCTCCTTTCTGGGACTGTTTACACAGAAGAGCAGAAGATAACAAGCCAGGTTCCTGCAATACATTTCTAGAAAAGAAACACGACTGGAATCCTGTGCCCCTTTAGCAATTTGTTTATGTCCCTGCTTTCAGTCTGGTTTCGGTAGCACGCAGCCTCGACTATGGAGAAGCTGCAGTATACCTAGTTAGTGTACTAAGAGTGTTGAAGAACCCCAGACAGGACTCTTCCCTCTTCCTCCTTTCTTCTCCCCCTCCCCCAAAGAGGGGGAGTAATAGTTTATTTCTAATTACAAAGATGGTCCTAGCATGCTTTACAAGCAAAATGCCCTGGTGGGGCAGGGTGTCCCGTAGCCTCTCGTGGCAAAGGATTGCAGCTCATTTCTATCATTGTCTTTAGTGAGAACTTAACTGCAAGAAATGGGTGGAGGAGACAAAGTGGCACACAACAAGTCTACCTCTTCAGAGTTTCTTGTTTGTGATTGCCCTATTCCAGCTTCCAAAACTGAAACTGGCATTTTGAGAGCCACAATGAAGGATGGTATTAGATCACCACATTTTTTCTTTAAATGAGCCGTGGTGGCGCAAGGGGTTAGAATGCAGTATTGCAGGCTAACTCTGCTCACTGCCAGGAGTTCGATTCTCACCGGCTTGAGGTCGACTCAGCCTCCCATCCTTCTGAGGTCGGTAAAATGGGGATCCAGATTGGGGGCCATATGCTGACTCTCTAAACTGCTTAGAGAGGGCTGTAAAGCACTGTGAAACGGTACATAAGTCTAATTGCTGTTGCAAAATGTTGTGGATGAGGTTGGGACACACAAGAGCACACTTTGGCTTGTGCTTGGGTAGACTTTGACTCATTGAAGGTGGAGTAAACAAGCTCAGCGAGTTGAGTTGGTTATGTAAGCAGGCAAATTTCTGCCTCTTTCCCACGTGACGACATTGATTTTTCCCTTTTTTGTTTTGAAAAAGATCTCATAACGTATTTTGAAATTACGCTCTTGCTCAGTGAGTGAAGCAGGGGCAGGATCATTTTTGCAGCCCCCACCAGAATTTCTAAAAAAAAGTATAGTAATGTGGTTTCTTGGCTTTTGGGAAATGGGATGTAAGTGCTATGTAAACTATATACTTAATATCATTTCAAAAGAAATTCCTAACTTTGGCCAGGATCAGAAAATTCCAGCTTCACCCTCCCTGTGTGAGAAAAACCTTCCCATGTTGCTCGTTGCAAACTCTTTACCTTTGTAAAACTAAAGGAAAACAGTTGCATCCATGTCACCATCAAATAGTAAAGGAATATTTATCGGACTAAGCTTGGGCGTTATTACATTTGAAGGGGATAAATATGTTCTCCTTAGGATCACCACCTAGCTGCCCATAGTCTTTGATTGAGATGGGTGGTCATAAAAATTGAAGGAAGGAAAGAAGGAACGAAGGAATGAAATTTCAAGCATATATTTGTATATATAAACTAGCTGTACCTGGCCACGCGTTGCTGTGGCTCAGTCTGGTTAAATGGAAAAGAAAGAAAAGAGAAAGCGCACGAATAAGAAAAACAGGTAAAAAAAACGAAATTAAAAACAACGAAAAAAGAAAAAAAATAAACTATACTCATGAAGTGAACGCTATGGTAAACGACACAGCTCAATTCCAACGCAATGTCACACGAAATAATTAAATCAAAATGAAAATAAATCGAAATCTACGAAAATTCAATTTAACAATGCAATCGGAAACATTGAAATGGAATCGTAAAATTGGAAATTTGGAAATCCTAAATGGATCGTAAGTCGGAAACATTGAAATGGAATCGTAAAATCGTAGCGTGTGTTGCTTTTACGTCCAACAGATGGCGCTGTTTTTTAAAAAAAAGCATGTTTTTACCTGTCACAGGTGTGACATCTATATAATAGTAGGTATATAAAAACACACGCGTATTCGAATGCAACATTGTGTCAAAATTTCAAAGCAATCAGTGAAGAACGTTCGGAGATTTAAGATTTTGAACAAACGAACATTTACATTTTTATTTATATAGATGACCTGACATAGTTTAACAAAAGAGACACGATAGAGAAGCTCTTACATGAACAGGTGCCTTAGTGTTTAATTAGAGCAGGGGTCTTCAAACGTGGCCCTTTTATGACTTGTGGAATTCTGGGAGTTGAAGTCCACAAGTCATAAAAGGGCCACGTTTGAAGACCCCTGGATTAGAGGCTTAATTTGTACCTTCATCTGGGCCTTTGCTAGGACTCACCTGTCTCTTTTTCCTCTCTTGCAGCCTTGGGCGCCGCTTACGGCACAGCGAAGAGCGGCACAGGTATTGCTGCCATGTCGGTCATGAGGCCAGAACTGATCATGAAGTCCATCATCCCAGTGGTCATGGCGGGGATCATAGCAATCTATGGCTTGGTCGTGGCGGTCCTGATTGCCAGCTCTCTCGTGCACGACATCTCGCTATTCAAGTAAGTGCCTCGGAGAAGCAGGGCTGCAGAGGTATCTTGCAGGCCGAGGGATCATCTGACTCTCGATGGAAAAAATACTATAATTGTGGTTATAAGCCGAGGACTCCCAGTACAGCATTGGGTGTCGTGTTCTTAAAATTGTGCAAAGTGACAAACAAAGGGTCCATCCCCCCTAGAAAGACTTTTCGTCACCTTTTAGGGTATCATTTGAGACCTGAAGTGTTAGCAGGCCCAGCATTAGGGATCCAAAGCTTGGATTTATTTCCAGAACTGACTTTTGACTTGAGTCTGACTCCGGTCTCTTTTCTTGCTTCTTTCATGCATGAAGCAAAATCCTTTAAAACAAAATAACTGATATCCAATACAACGCTTCAGCTTTTAATTATTCAGAGATGCTTAAGTGAAACATGTTGGTAAACTAATCCTCTTGCTGCTACATTAGACATGCCCAGAAGTTTCCAGGTGTGCTTAAAATGGGCTGAAACACAATCGGCTTTAAATTTTCATGAGTGGCTGTAGTTGACTAGGGGAACCTACTCAATGCCTGTCCCTTCAGGAATAACTGTATAGCTTTCTGTAGCTTTCCGTCTCTTTTCTAGAAGTCAGGAAAAAAATAAGATTAATTAGAAAGGTTGAGGAAAAAACAAACATGGGTGCAAGACCGGATGGTTGGTAGCATCACTGGAGGAAAGCTTAAGAACAGCTTGCCGTGAACTTGAAGGAACAAAATGTTTTATTCCTGACAAATGAGACTTGGCCAATGGTATAAAACTTGCCAGATTTGAATATGAGATAGCAGTAGCACTTAGACTTATATACCGCTTCACAGTGCTTTACAGCCCTCTCTAAGCGGTTTATAGAGTCAGCCTGTTGCCCCCCCCCCCCCAACAATCTGGGTCCTCATTTTATTGGCCTGGGAAGGATGGAAGGCTGAGTCCACCTTGAGCTGGTGAGAATTGAACTGCTGAGAGTTGGCAGAATTTCCTGCAATACTTCATTCTAACCACTGTGCCACGATGGCTCCAGTTGCCATTGTCATTCCCGTTGCCTCGGGAAGAGCCCAGCAGAGGTCCACCCAATACTTGTTTGTTTCACCTTTTTCAACCTCCCTTAGATACAAAGCCATCATGTGGCTCAGTTAGTTCATGACGTACATTCTTTGTAAGCCCAATGGTGGCTTCTTTGACAAACCATTGAGTAGCACTATAGCAACCGTGTTTGTGTACAGAGGTCCAGCTGCAAGTGCACCTGTTCTCCCAGCAGCAAATCCAAAGCAGCAACTAGTTTGCAGAGGAACTAGTGAGTAAATGCAGTGACTTAAGTCAGCAGAGAGTCCTAACATTTATGAGATGTGTCCTGCTGTGACAACCTCCGAAATGTGTTTTGCTTTGTTGTTTGCTCTTTAAGGGGTTTTGAATATTCTGTCAATCTTCCCTGCATCCGCCTATCTTTCATTCTCTGGCTTCTACTGAGCACAGTTACATAGATGTGAGATGCTTTTAATTACCAGCACTCTGCCACAGGAGAGTAAGCATGAGCCCACTCTGCAGGGAGGTTTGAGGCTGGCCTGGGTGAAAGCAACCCAGCTTTTTAGGAAAAGCCGTTCGGAGCTGGATCCTTTTTTTCAACAGGATCTTCTGCGGCTGGACGCTGCTTTCCAAGATCTTGTTGGAGAGCACAGGCCCTGGTGTAGGAAGTTTAAGTTCCAGAGAGGAAGTCAGATTCTTTCACTTCTCCTCCAGAAAACAGTCAGGCTTCCCTGATTGAAGCGGGTTATTTCCAACATGCCGTTCAGCTTGTCTTCCCTTCCCTTACAGGAGCTTCCTTCAGCTGGGCGCTGGACTGAGCGTAGGCCTCAGCGGTTTGGCCGCCGGCTTCGCCATTGGCATTGTGGGTGACGCAGGTGTCCGGGGGACGGCACAGCAGCCGAGGTTATTTGTGGGCATGATCCTGATCTTGATCTTCGCCGAAGTCTTGGGGCTGTACGGCCTCATCGTTGGCCTTATCCTTTCCACAAAAGGGTAATCGCCGCAGAGTGTTGGTGGAAAACAAAAACAAACTTAAGTTCCAGAATTTGGAGGGAGAGGGGGAAGAGAAAAAAAAAAAAAAAGGTCTCTCCAGAAATGTGTACAGTTGTCATCAGTTTGGTAGTTGATCTCTTGTAAATGCGCAATGTATGTGACTTGTCTGTCCTCTGTGTACTTCAAACATGAAAAGCAGGAGGGCCTGCCACAAGCCTTTTCCGCAAGGCCTGGGGGAAGCACCTTTGCCCTTTTCCATCCATCTTTGCCATTAGAGCCCTTTGTGTATAAATATAAACTAGAAAAACGGTAATCTTTCCCCTCTCCTCCATTGGATGTTTTATTTATAAGACTTGACATGTTCACCCATAATGGAACAAGAGTTTTCAATTTTCCATGCTCTTCTCTCTCTACACCCACCCACACGCCCCCCCACCCCCCCACACACATATATATATATATGTATATTAATCTCATGCATAGATAGATTACTACACTGTGGGGTTAACTGTAAGTGCAGAGAAATCCTTGGATGTAATTTGATTCTCAATGATTGCTGTCGTGTCCTGGTATCGGAGTGTGAGGCCGTTTGTGTTTATACAGATAACAGCAAAAAAAAAAAAAAAAACACGTCTGAGACACTCCTGTGTGTTCCCAAGTAGTGAAAACTGTATGCTCTGGCATCAAAACGTTGTGAAGCCAATGTTGGATTTTGCAGTAATACGTTTCCAGGTAATAAAAAAAAAATCCTCCACTATACCATTGGTCGCACAGTGTGTCTTGTTGTGAGTTGTCTCGAGAGGCGGGTTCTCCAAACGCTGATGCCATCCAGCACAGCCACCCTTCCCCTCCTATCCTGTACTTGTGAATGCCTGGACCTTAACTAATAAACAGGGGAGGGGAGAAGTTGTCCAGCTTTTATGAACCAGGTCAGTCAGAAATCTCAGAGCTGGGGAACCTTGGTTAGTTTTAGTCTTAAATATAGTGGGACATTAATAGATTGTGTCATTCCAGCCCACTGGGTTAATTTGGAGTGGGTGGTATTGAACAAACCCAGCAATTGGAGTAAATCCTTAGTAGGACTAACTAGGTTCTGAAAATCAATCTAGGAAATAAAAACCCCACGAAGGCTTAGCTTCCAGCCTCTTCTAATACTTTTAATGTGGGATCCTTAGTGCTCTCTGAGCTTGGTGGTTTTCTTGCAGATGTTTCATTACCCAACTAGGTAACATCAGTACTAGAAGGGAGTGGAGAGTATGCTTTCTATTTATACACAAGTGACTTGTACGGTCAGTGTCAGTACAGGTAGGGCAAGCCAGTTGTATATAAAGGGCTGGGTCTCAACCCATGAAGTCTAACTTGGAAAACGGGGGGGGGGGGGGTTGAATTACAAGAAATAAATGCCTCTCTTGCTTACTTCAGTGCTAAGAACAGTGTGGAGAATACAGTATTTTGCTTTTTTTTTTCACCTTTTGCTTACTACAACAAAAATAATCAGATCTGGTTTTCTTTCTGCATACTTGTGCAGGAATTTTTCTGGTGGACGAGGTGGAAAGGAGGCGTGGAGATCCTTCAGGAAAAAATGTAGCACTTCATAAGGCTTATATAAGTCCGTTGGGTATAGTGGTGAAGGCACCAGGTTACAAACCAGGAGACTATGAATTCTAGTCCTGCCTTAGGCATGAAAGCTGACTGGGTGACTTTGGGCCAATCACCAGGTGATGGCGAGTCCCCCAGTAAGGCTAGCCACGCAGCCCCCCAAAGGAGGAATCGAATCCCTGCATTATGTATATTGTTGGTATTGCCCAGATTTTCAGGTCACGGACAACCCAGTGACTCATTCCCGGTTTTCCCTCAGCTTTGCAAGCTTCACAGATGGAAATAGATTGAGCACCATCCTCCACTGGCCAAAGAAACACTTTTGGAGGACGGGGACTGCAGCTTATTATTTATTCCTTCATCCCATTTCTGTCCCATCCTGCCCATCTCAGTGACTCTTCGCCTTTGTCCATTTAAGAAAAAGGCACAGGCAGAGGGATCTGCAGGAGGACAAAAAAAAAGAAGAAGCTCTGAACGAACCTTCCAGTTTTTATTTTACACCAGAGAATGTCTGCTGCAGAGAGTGAGTCAGCCCTGCAGAGAAGAAGGGGAGGGGAGGAGAAAGGGGGAACAAAGCAGCAGCGAGAAAGAGAAATAAAACCTCATCCACGAGGCCACCTAATTGCTTGGGAAGAAAACTTAAAAATTAGTCTTTTCTCCTGGATAGTTGTTGGTCTTTTAACTCCCTGGTCTTTCAGGGAGTTAAATCCCAGATCCACATGGGACACAATTCACAAGATTTACCCATGTGGGGAAACAGGACATATTCTAATGCATTTCTCCACATTCCCGCTACCTGCAAAGTATTTTAGGCCAGGAAGGACGTATCAAGTGATAGTCAGCCTTGCTTTCATACAGCCTTTCTGCTCCACTCCTCTGTCTGTAGATCTAGTTCCGTGTTTTGATGTGGCTTTTGCGGAAGTGGGGTGTGTTTTCCAACGTTTGCTCATTCTGGGACGCCCATTCTTGGTCTGGGATGTGAGAAAGCCCCCGAGGCCAGGGCAAAAAAAGACCAAAAAATGGAATCAACAGTCTCTTATCAGTAGACATCCAGAGCTGTTCCTTGTTGCTGAATGATTCACGTTGGGCCTCGTGACTTGGAGTCAGGCCAAGAGATTGGCTTGTGTGATCTCCTGATCTGCCTGTCCTAGCTGGAAGGAAGGCAAGGATGTATTTGCAAACAGGCTGGGTGGATTAGCATAAAGCAAAGAGCAACCCTGCGCTTTTTACTTTTGGAAAATAGGGAAGAATCCTGAGGCAAGAGAGAGAGATCCCCTTTCTGCTTTTCTTCCAGCATCTCTTGGCCCAAGTATGTTTTTCCTCTGAAGATGGCGAGTCTAAGCAGAACAGCGAACGATAATAAAAGCGAACGATAATAAATCATTATCCCAACAACCCTTTCAAGCAAATCTAAGAAGGGTTCTGGGGATTTTCCTGTTTTGCTTTGCAAGAAACGGAGATGGATTGGTGTGGTTTCATTTCCCCCAAAGTGCTCAGTTGGAAGCAAAAGAAAAAAAACAACGAAGGGAAATGTTGCCATGAGGCTCTAAACCCAATTAGCATGCTACTTGGTTTGCAGCTTCTCCCTGAGTCAGCCGTGGCTCCTGTCCTTGCTGCCTTCGTCACAAGGATGTCAGAAGCGTTGATTAATATGCTGGTCTACCGTTAGGAAACCCTTTGAGGATGGAGACCGAGCTCTTCTCAAGCAACCCAGAGCAATTGTTTTTGCTGGTTATTTCATACTGCTGCAGTGGGGAACTCTGGCATGTATTATTATTCTGTTATGTGCCCTTGATGCTCCTTCAAAAAACCCCTGCAAAATCTGTCTTGAGACGGAGCTGCCTGACATTAAAATGGACATACGGTCCTGAAGAATAAATTAAGGTGTTGTTAAACCCACACGGCTGTGTGTTCTCTCTATCTTTTCCTTTCTCTCCCAAACGTAAGTCTAGTTTCATAACCACTAAATTGATTTATCCACGTTTCATGTTTTACTTCTGCATTATTTATCCACCACGGGGAGGGAAGAAGTGAAATGGATAGGTGTACTTCAAACAGCATTTTAGGGTTCTCCGGGCTGTGCATGCACATGCTGGACTCAATCACCGTGAAACAACACAAAACAAGATAGTTTCATGTAGTTGACATGCCACACTACACTGAGCGTTATAAATGCCCACATTTAGATTCCAAGATATTTGGGCTGAATTCATCCTTCCTATTAAGAAATACTGCAGTCTCACTAATGTTGGGTTAGTATGATGTGTGAACACGTCTGTAAAGATTTAGTGTTCTCTGAATCAAGACATGATATATGATGTATAAAACAGCATCACTTTGAAAAAAAACATCATTTTCAGTACCTATTCTGCACTTTAATTGCTAGGAATAGATTCTTAACGGACAGAAACAATGACAGTAAAAGCACCGCAATCTGTTTCTACACATGCACGTTGCATAATGTATTACATATTACAGGATTCCAAATTAAAAGAAGCTCTCTCCTTACACAGTTTAGGAGGAACTCAAAAAACTATTTATTTACCACTGCTGTTTTTGTACTTCATTACGATTTCAGCCACTGAGGATCCAATTGATTGCCAGGGGATAGAAATGCAACCGATAACTTAACATCCCTACGTAAAATGTTTTTATGGATTTTTAAATTACAGCTTAAAATCTAACCAATATTATTGGGAAGGAAATGGGTGACGCATACATTTTCTAAGTAAGGATGTGAATAAATCGATAAGACCTGCAGACTGACAGCTGCATCTGGGACAAGATGCAAAGAACATCAGAAGCATGTTGGCTTTTGACATTCATTGTCTTTGAACCAGTTCCTAATTGTTCTTCCACTTTTTCTCCCATCTCAAGGATTGGAGAGCATGAAGGCAGATGACCATAAGCATTTATGCCTATGGGCCTCGCTCAAAACAAAAAAACCAACAGCTCTTCTTATGAGTGTTATTTTATTAAAATATAACCTGGCCCCCATCCAAAGCTGAACATCATCAGTAAAAAAAGAACACGCTATGTTTGAATCACATATTTAACCTGGTTCCTAGATTAACCTAGGACAGGGGTGTCCAACCTTGGCAACTTTTAAGACCTATGGACTTCAACTCCCAGAATTCCCTGGCCAGCACAAAACTGCCCTACTTGGGTGTCTATGGAGATTTTCAAAAACAACCCCCCCCAATGATGCAACTCACCAAAAAGCGTAATGACAAGAATGATGGGAAAGTAAAGAAAAAACACAAAAACCACACAACAAAATAGCCCAAAAGGAAACCACAAAAACCCCTGTCCTAGGTTAATGGGTTAATCTAGGAAGCAGGTTAAATATGTGATGCGAACATAGCTTGTTCTCTTACTGATGATGTTCGGCTTTGGATGGGGGCCAGGTTATAACCACAAAAACGATGGGAAAGCCTTGAATAAAAACACAGAATGCAGGTAGTCCTCAACGTACGACCATAATTGAGCTCAAAATTTCCCTGGCTAAGTGAGACAGTTGTGAAGCGAATTTTGCCCCATTTTACGACCTTTCTTGCCACTGCAGTTGTTAGTAACAGGGTTGTTAAGTGAATCTGGCTTCCCCCTTGACTTTGCTTGTCAGAAGGTCGCAAAAGGGGATCACGTGACACCCCGGGACACTGCAACCGTCATAAATATGAGTCAAGTTTCTAAGGACCTGAATGTAAATCAGGTGATCATGAGGATGCTGCAACGGTCATAAGTGTGAAAACCGGTCCTTAGCCACTTTTTTTTCCAGTGCCGTTGTAACTTGGAACAGTCACTAAATGAACGGTTGTAAAGCCGAGGACTACCTGTAACCCAAAACGTTAAACACACACACACATATACACAAAATCATTTAAAACCCATTATAATCCGCAGAAGAGGCTCCCCTCGCAAGGCCACCGTCTTGCAGGCTCCACACATAGCGATGCCATCCTAGATGATGGGGCGTGTAGTCCACCGCCCGCGCCTGGGCGCATCGCATCGCTTCCCGGGGCGCTCCGCATCGCTACGACCTCACCAAGATGGCGGCGGCCGGCAAAGCCGCTCCTCCCCCCTCCTCTTCCCTTCCCATCATGGCGGCTCCTCGCCGCCGCTCACGTGACCCTCCTGAGAGGGAGAGCGGGCCCCACCCTCCTTGCCCATCACGTGACCGGGACCGGGAGACTTGCAGGCAGCCCCGACGGAGCGAAGTTGGCACCGGGCGGGGAAAAGGCTCGGCGGGCGCCGGGTAAGTCCCGGGGCGGCTTCTGGTCGGGCGGGGTCAGCGGTCGGCTGCTCCTCTCTTCCCCCGGAGAAGGCTTCCCAGCGCCCGGGGGAGCTTCCGCTGCCTCTCCGGCTGGCTTTGGGGCACCGGCGGGTGGGGTGGGGTGGGGTGCGGCGCGGGCTGCTCCCTCTGCAATGATGGACAGGAGGTTTCAGTGCCCCCCCAACCCCCCCGTGGACAGGATCCCAGATGGACCCTGGGTGGATCGCTGGGGGGGGGAGTTCTGGAGAGCGGGCTGGCCAAAGGAAAGGCGGTCAGATGGGTTTAAAAATGGCAAATCCAATCAGTCAAAATGATTGATTGATTGATTGATTGATTGGGTTTGCCATCAGGTCGTTTTTGATTCCTAGCCGCCACCACGAAAGAGAAGCCGCCAGGTGGGGTGGCGGAGGTGATTTTTGCAAGATTTTGCCCTCCTAAACTGCAGGGAGATTGCGGCACTAAGTTTGCTGGAAAAGCCGGGGAGGGAGGGGGGGGAAGTTGCAGCAAGAACAAATCCTTTTAATTTGGACCCTCCGGTACGGCAATTTATGTGGGATGGGGGGGAGAGAGGCTGAGCACCAGCTTTGGGGATCTCTTTCATGAGCCACCAACGGTGCTCTGCATTGTGCCTAGAAAAGGGAACAGCTTCACGTGTCTTTTGCTCTTGAGGTGCTGGTAAAAATACTCTCCTTGGTACAGAGGGAACCCTAAAACCGAAATCTGGGTTGCGGGTCAGTGTAATTTTATAATATAATTAGTTTTTCTAGGATTAGGAATAAGGTGGGGTTGGGATTAGGGTTAGGGTTTCTTTTAAATAACATTCTCAATATTTAGTAAACAGCATAATGTCTGGGTTCATGTATTTAAAAAAAAACAATGATATACAATATAATTAATCGCTCGATGGTCGTCTTCTTGCTAATATATATTCAAAGTGACATATCACATTCCTTTCTCTCTAACTCGTTTTTTCTAGCCATTGATAAAAATTATTCCATGTTCTAAAATACATTGAGTCTTTTTTATCCTTAAAGTCAATCTGTCCATTTCTGCACACACTAAAATTTTCTTAATTCTTCTTCAGTTGGTAAATTTTTATTTTTCCAATGTTAGGCAAATACAATTCCTGCTGCAGTTAGTACATGTAGAATTAAATATATACAGTCTTTCTCATAATTTGCTCCTATTATTTCTAACAAAAATAATTGTGGCTTAAAGTCTATTTGTTTTTTAGTCATTTTCTCCATAAGTGTATTTTTAACCAAACTCTTTTTGCTCTAGGGCATGTCCACCAGATATGGTAATAAGTACCTGGTCTGTGTTTGCATTTCCAACACTTGTTTGAAGTATTTTTAAACATTTTTTGCTAATCTCATTGGTGTCATATGCCATCTGTAAAACATTTTATATAAGTTTTCTTTATATGCCACTGCTTTCGTTAATTTAGCATTTGTTTCCCATAACTTTTGCCAGTTTTCTAATTCTATATTATATCCAAAGTAGTAGTAGTAGTAGTAGTAGTAGTAGTAGTAGTAGTAGTAATAATAATAATAATAATAATAATAATAATAATAATAATAATTAATAATAATAATAATAATAATAATAATAATATGAGATCCTTGGAGGGAGAGGGAGAATCACTTTTTCCATTATTGTATTCCATTATTTCCACACGTTTGCCAGCACACGGAAATCAGTTTCTGCCTTCCAAGTTCTTGCTGCAATCTGTAAGAAAGCTATCAACTCATTATGTTTCAAGGTACAGTTCACTGCCTTGAGTATTCAATAAAAAATTGAATAATTAAATAAAATAAGATGCAAAGGGGCTTCAATAGATCATGTTCCCATATTGCTTTTAACCCATTCAACAGTTTTGTTTTCTGATTCAGTAAATCATGACTAAACAAATCAAGGCTTACATAATAGATGAATAAATATGGCTTAAATATGGCTTCCTTCATGTTCTCTCCATGCTGTTTCTGATAGTTGCCTCACACGTGTGCCTGAAGGATGCCATGCCATAAATCCACTGTGGATGCACCAATCCTTCAATTTACCAACTGCCGGATTTTAAAGGATCATGTCCTGCAAAGGTGAGGACTTTATTTTAGTCTTCCATCTTGTTCTAATGGTTTAGATCAGGGGTAGGCAACCTTGGCTCTTTTATGACTCATGGACTTCAACTCCCAGAAGGGAAAAAGTGGAGATCAGACAACTTCATAAGTCAAGAGAAGGCTCCCTTAAAAGCCAGCACCCACTAGCCCTCTCTTTCATCACCTGTTTACTATCAATAAAACTTGATAGAACCAAACTCTCTGGATGAAGAATAAAACTCTCTTCACTGCAGAATAAATTATAGATAGGATTCCAGCAGAGAACTGCCTTTGGTCGATTGGCCAAAGGAGAGATCAAGTGGAACTTTTATCTAAGAAGTGGGTGACTAGCTGATTCTGTTTTCAGAGAGGATCTATGGGTAAGAGCCGGGAAGATCTTAAACCCAGAGAAGGTGTTCTTTGATGAGAAAAAGTCTGCAGATATCCAACTGGACTGCAAAGGCAGCATCCTGGCACCGGGCTTCATTGATGTACAAATCAACGGTAAGGGATCGCAACTACTGCTGCAAACCAAAGGCCCCAATCCAAGTGATGCAGAAATTGTCAAGCACGGGAAATCGGGAAATCCAGGCAGTTCAAATAAATATATAGGTTTATCGTGCGTTAAAGCTCTCTACAAGAATCTGAATTACTAACAGTCAAAGCTAATTGGCGGTAAATAAGAGTCAACAGAATTCGAGGTGGGCTGGACTTAGATGATAGATAGATAGATAGATAGATAGAGAGAGAGAGAGACAGACAGACAGACAGACAGACAGACAGACAGACAGACAGACAGACAGACAGACAGACAGACAGACAGATAATCAAGTACTGGAAATCAGGAGTCCAGGAAGTTCAAATGAATATATAGGTTTATTGCAGTCTTAAGCTCTACAAGAATCTGAACTACTAACAGTCAAAGCAAATTGGCGGTAAATAAAAGTCAATAAAATTCAAGGTGGGCTGGATTTAGATGATAGGTAGATATAGATATAGTTAGATAATCAAGTACTGGAAATCAGGAGTCCAGGAAGTTCAAGTGAATATATAGGTTTATAGCAATCTTAAGCTCTACAAGAATCTCAGCTACTAACAGTCAAAGCAAATTGGGGGTAGATAAGAGTAAACAGAATTCAAGGTGGGCTGGATTTAGATCTCTTGTGAGCACAAAGGGACTCCAGACTGATGATGCGTTTGACCCCTCCCTTGGGCTCAGCCTGGTCATCCCCTACAGAAATATCTGCTTGCATATTTTATTTGCTTGGACCATGTTGGAATCTGAGTCTTCATGGCCTTGCTGTAAAATGGGATCGCAAAGAAAGACAGTGAGATGTATTTGTTAAATGTATTTGCCACTCATCTCACTACAAGGTGACATCTCCCCGGGAGGTGTTTACGATCAACAACTACCAACAGCTCTAAACAACTTGGTTAATGGAAGATACAGTTCAACCTATTAGCAAGGAAGCAATCTGAGGATTATGCTGTAACCAGCCTCAATCAGAATGGATAGAGAAAGGACAATTCCATTTCCAAAGATACTTTGCCATTGGGAACCAAAGATAAGTTAATCCCTCCATCTGCGGAGTATATTATCCAGGTGTATAACCATGATTTGCACAGAGGCAAGCCACTGGATAACCTAAATAGCAAGGATGGGCGTCTCCTTCTGTCTTCTCAGGAGGTTTCGGAGTAGATTTTTCCCTGGCTACAGATGATGTGCAAGCAGGAATTTCACTGGTTGCCCAGAAGATACTGTCCAGCGGAGTGACTTCATTTTGCCCAACCATGGTCACCTCACCATCCTCGGTTTATCACAAGGTGAGGAGATCCAAAGCTGTAACATGGCTTGTTTTGATTTGAGGGATTGTGTAAACCTGGCCTCTATATTATAGTTGGTCAACCAAGGTGGATGGTTTCGATGGCGGCATGAAGTTAGCTGGTTGGGAGAAAAACAGAACAAGTGTTGTATGCAACACATTGAGCACCTGGAGAAAACATGACGTCTAACTCTGTCTGGTAAAGAATTAATTTTAGATTAGCCAGGAAATCCAGATCAAGCAATGGCTTTATGTGATGTAAGTCCAGTCACTAAATCAGATCATTATTCTACTGCATTAATTGCATATGGACAACCTATCAGAACCTGTTGGATTTCTGTTTCCTGTCGTCTGTTTGGGGTTGCAGAAATGAGCCTCTATGAGCCAACTAGAATAGAAATAATTACAGAAATAATCAGAGATCTGGGTTTAGCAAGCTGAATATGGACTTGATTCATACAACGCCCTGCACCACAATGGAGCTTGGTTTTTTTTTCTCAATGTCTCCTCTCCTAATAGGTTCTGCCTCAGATCCGTGTACAAAATGGAGGACCTCATGGAGCTGGTGTCCTAGGTGAATAAAAGCCATTCATCTTTAATAGTTGTATCTTTTGATGAGGTAAGAAAGATAAAAGATCCTTTGCACCTTTCTCTAATCTGGTGCCTTTCTGAGGTGGGGTCAGCACCTTCAAGAACTCTAGACCAGGGGTAGGCAACCTTGACTCTTTTATGACTCGTGGACTTCAACTCCCAGAATTCCTGAGCCAGCATGGGGAAAACTTTGGCCCCTTCATGACTCGTGGACTTCAACTCCCAGAATTCCTGAGCCAACATGGCTCAGCTTGGAAACCTTTCCCTTTCCCCTCAGCATGGCTGACTTAGGAATTTTGGGAGTTGAAGTCCACGAGTCATAAAAGAGCCAAGGTTGCCTACCCGTGCTCTAGACCATCATGGCTAAGGGCCTGGAATTTTGAAAATTTGCTACAGATCTTCACTTCAGTTGGAGTTTGTCGTAGGTCTCCTGCCCCCATATTATACCCTTCAGTGGTCCGACTGTCCATAAACGATTGCCTCACCTTGTTTCAGAGCTTTGGATGTCTTTCTCCTTTGGCAGGGATTCATCTGGAGGGTCCATTCATCAGCAAAGAGAAGAAGGGGGCTCACCCGGAAAATTACCTCCGTACTTTTGAGTCGGGAGCCTTTCTGGATTTGCTTGCCATGTACGGGAGCCTGGACTGTGTCCGGATTATCACCTTAGCACCTGAGATGAAACGTAGCAGTGAAGTGATCCGGGAGCTGACCAAGAGAGGCATCTGCGTATCATTGGGTAAACGTTGTCCCTGGGGGCTGATAGCCAAATCTGGTCCTAGGTCAGTGATGGTGAACCTTTTAGAGACCGAGTGCCCCAAACCCAACCCCTGCCCCCGCTCCGCCTCCCATCCTGCCTGCTCTGCCCCTGCCTGCCCCGCCCGCCCGCAGGGCCACGCACCGCCTCCATGGCCCGCCACAGCAGACCGCCCAGGTAGCCCTGCAGCACCATGGCAGCCACGCCCACACCCCGCAGCATCATCTGCATGCTATGGAGCGCGAGGGCGGAGTCTTGCCTCTGCTGTCCGGCTATGTCCTTGGCTGCACTGCTCCATGTGTGCCGCGCCCGGGGGTGATTCTCCTCCCGGGGGGCTGCTGGTGAGGAAAAGGCCCCAAAGGAACATGATGTAGAGTTCTCTCCATTTTTTTCTAGGACACTCTGTGGCTAATCTATCTCAGGCTGAGGAGGCTGTTTGTCAGGGAGCTACCTTCATTACTCACCTCTTCAATGCCATGTTACCTGTGAGTAGTACCTAGGCAAGTTTCCATTTCCAGCATCCTAACCGAGTGTTTGTCAGTTACTTTTTTCAGCGCTGTTGTAACTTCAATCGGCTGCTAAACAAATGGTTTGTAAATTGAGGACTGTCGTGACTGAATTTATTCCTGGGGTTTGGAAAAGCCACTGTTCCACAGAATTCTGGGTTGTGATTTCTCCTCTGAGGAGACTGCCCAGGTCGTATGGTAATAATAATAATAATAATAATAATAATAATAATAATAATAATAATAATAATAATAACAACAACAACAACAACAACAACAACAACAACAACAACAACAACAACAAAATGCCAAATCCAGTCTGAACATCTGGCTGACTGTGCGATGATCCATAATAATAATAATAATAATAATAATAATAATAATAATAATAATAATAATAATAATAATAATAATAATAATAATAATAAAAAAGTTGGGAGGGACCTTGGAGGTCATCTAGTCCAACCCCCTGCTCAGGCAGGAAACCCTATACCATTTTAAACAGATGATTGTCCAATCTCGTCTTAAAAACCTCCCGTTTTGGAGCACCCACAACCTCTGGAGGTAAGCTGTTCTACTGATTAATTGTTCTCACTGTCAGGACGTTTCTTCTTAGTTCTAGATTGCTTCTCTTCTTGATCAGTTTCCATCCCTTGTTTCCTGTCCTGCCTTCAGGGGCTTTGGAGAATAGCTTGACCGCCTCTTCTTTAGGGCAGCCCCTGAGATACTGGAACGCTGCTATCATGTCACCCCTCGTCCTTCTCTTCATTAAACTAGACATAACCAATTCCAGTCTAGCCAAGAAATGGAACAGTAGGTTTTGTAGTCCTTCTCCCTAATCCATGGACTTAACTGCCTTGTGTCCTAACATTCCTTGTGCAGTTCCACCATCGAGACCCCGGGATCGTGGGGCTTCTCACAAGCGACAAGATCCCTCCCAATCAGCAAGTGTTTTACGGCATGATCTCAGATGGGATCCACACGAATCCTGCCGCTCTGCGAATCGCACACCGGGCTCACCCTCAAGGTCTGTCTCCACAAGGAAGACCCTTCCCCCTGAGATGAGAAGGGGCATCTTTTTAGTCAGCTTGGTCCGCTGTTGGGAGGGTTTTGGTAAAAAAAGATGGAGGACGCCAAAGAGAGAGTACAGTTCAGTTCACTTAAAGTAAGCCATGGTTTGTTTTAACATTGGTTTGAAGACACTTAATAATAATAAAGTTGGAAGGGACCTTGGAGGTCATCTAGTCCAACCCCCTGCTCAGGCAGGAAACCCTATACCATCACACTTAATGTGATCACATTTACATATTTCACATAAGCTGCAAATGATTGGGTCCATTCATTGGGGTGCCTGAAAACCAGATTAAACCATATGTTGGCAACACTGAAGTGATTTTCAGGTGGAATTAAGAGGTCCAAAATTATCCCTCCTTAGGTTTGGTCCTGGTGACAGATGCCATCCCAGCAATGGGACTTCCCCCTGGCAGACACACTCTGGGCCAGCTGGTGGTAGAGGTAGAAGGTGCAAAATCCTACATTGCAGGTAAGGGCACTCCTAGGCTGAAATCTCAGTTAGCCGCTCAAATAGGCGGATGGGCTGATTTTTCCCTAAGCTCTTCCCCAAAACCCAGAAGGGTCTTGTGAGAACCTGTGAGATGCACTATAGTTCCCATCATCCCCTATCCAACTGTCTTTGCATGTAAAGCTGATCATCTTCCTCCTCCTCCTCCTCCTCCTCCTCCTCCTCCTCCTCCTCCTCCTCCTCTCTTTCCAGGTACTAAAATACTGAGTGGAAGCATCTCCACGATGGACACCTGTGTCCGACATTTCAGGGAAGCCACTGGTAAGGAGAATCTGGCTTTGCCATCTCCTGGGGAGCCAGATCTGCTGAGGATTTATTTGTAAACCCCCCTTCTCACCCCCCCCAAAAGGTGGCCCTTGTAACGACTCAGTGTCAGGTGCGAAAGATCAGGTCCACAAGTGAAGGTTCAACTCCCACACAGGAATTCCCTGGTTGGGGAATTTTAGGATTGAAGTCCACACATCTTCAAATCCCCAGCGTTGAGAAGCACTGGCCTAGACACACTGTCAGTCATAGATTCTCCTGCCTGTTCAGAAGGGATATAGAATGGACAAGGGTTTCATCGTTTAAGTGAAGAACTCTTGATGCTAACTAAGAAACAACTCCCATTTCTGTTTTGCAGCTTGTTCATTAGAAACAGCCCTGGAGGCTGCCTCTCTCCACCCTGCTCAGCTCTTAAAAATCGAGGACCAAAAGGGAACCTTGAATTATGACACCGACGCAGGTATTTTGGCTCTTGTAAGGATTGAATTTGGATCACACTGTTTCCAGTTCAGCATGGAATCCATTGAGAATCCTGTCAGATCGGCTGAGCTGAAAATAAAGGGCTGGGCTAAAGTCACCCAGAGACCTTCTGGGGCTGAAGGGTGATTGGATCTCGTTCGCCCTGGTTCTGGTCCAGCAATACCTTCATCACTACTTCAGAGGTTGGGAATCCACACCACAAATCTCTTATCCTATTGTTCTACCTTCCATCCTTTAGATCAAGGGTAGGCAACCTTGGCTCTTTTATGACTCGTGGACTTCAACTCCCAGAATTCCTGAGCCAGCATGGCTCAGCTTGGAAACCTCTCCCTTTCCCTTCAGCATGGCTGGCTCAGGAATTCTGGGAGTTGAAGTCCACGAGTCATAAAAGAGCCAAGGTTGCCTACCCCTGCTTTAGATGTTAGGTGTGTTGCAAGGATTGCAACCTCCCTGCCTGTGGTATTCATGGAATTATCTCCCTGGAGAGGCCCATCTGCCTCATCCTTCTCTGCTGAATGAAGAATTATGGGAGGTGTAGTTGAACCGATTGTGTGAATTTCAGTTGGCGTTGGCTGTGGAGATTCTCAGTCACCCAGGTCATAGTTATCCTAAAGGTGCTTTTTCACGAGGCGATTGGACTTTCTTGTTTTTCTTTGAAGACGTTTCGTTTCTCATCCAAGAAGCTTCTTCAGCCCTGACTTCCCCACCATCCAGTCAGAGCTGAAGAAGCTTCTTGGATGAGAAGCAAAACGTCTTCAAAGAAAAACAAGAAAGTCCAGTCGCCTCATGAAAAAGCATGTTTGGGATAGTTAGGTCCATCTCTCCTATATCGCAGGGCCTGAAATTCCTACGGTAGCAACCAAGCTTGGGATGAGAGGCATCATTTTGTTTTTCCTACAGATTTTGTGCTGCTGGATGAGAGTCTTCATGTACGGGCCACTTATATTGCCGGCGAAGAGGTCTGGAAACAAGGCAACTTCACCCTCTGAAACTGCATTGCTGGACGGGCAATGCTTCAGACTGAAGGCAGAGGAGGGCCTGGAGTGACCCATAGCTCCATTTTTTCCCTAAAGCTTTCTGGTTTGCCTCATTTTTCTCCATAGATTCTCTTCAAAAGGTGCTGCTTAAACTGTAGCATTGGCTGCCCTCCTTTCTGTGGAGGATGATAAAACTTTTCTTCTCGACTTGATCCCACAGACACAAACTCCTTCCGGAGCTTGACAGGGACTTTTCTCGCTGTAAATCAAGAGACTTACTGTTACTGGGGAACAGCAGCCCCTTTTTCCCCCAGAGTGCTTCATTCTTTGACTTTCAGTGCAGCCTCTTTAATATTTGGATGAAGCTTTGGGAAGGAGGCATCTGCTTTGGTCCCACTTAAAGCTAACTCTATACAATGCTGCTACATTGACTGGATTTGCCTAAGCAGCTGGTCTAAAAATCTGGGGTGACATTGAACCCCAAGGTAATGTGCATCCCGCAAAAAATGATTTGCTTGACAGCCTGGGAGCCATTTCTGATTACAACTGCTGAAATCTGTAGTATGGTTTTATTTCATTTTCAGCTGAAAAGGTCAAGAATACAGAATAAGTTGAAAGGGACTTAGGAGGTCTTCAAGTCCGCAGGAGGCCTTATTTAATGAAGAGAAGGACGAGGGGTGACATGTTCCAATATCTCGGGGGCTGCCACAAAGAAGAGGGAGTCAAGCTGTTCTCCAAAGCACCTGAAGGCAGGACAAGAAACAACAGATGGAAACTAACCAAAGAGAGAAGCAACCTAGAACTAAGGAGAAATTTCCTGTCAGAACAATTAATCAGTGGAACAACCTGCTTCCAGAAGCTGTGAATGCTCTAACACTGAAAGTTTTGAAGAAGAGACTGGACAGCCGTTTGTCTGAAATGGTATAGGGTTTCCTGCCTGAGCAGGGGTTGGACTAGAAGACCTCCAAGGTTCCTTCCAACATCATCATCATCATCATCATCATCATCATCATTTTGCAAAGTGGGTTTTTTTGGCCTCGTTGCATTACATTTTTTTTTCTTTTTGACATGCTGTGAATTTAAATTTTCAGGCATTGTGATTCCAGCCATGTAGCAATTTCATCTGATTCTTTATTTTGGAAATGTTTTTTAAAAGCATATCTTTTATAAAGGGTAATAAAATGTTCAGTCCACAGCTGATGTGTTGTTTCTCCAGCAGAGGGAGATTGTGGTGGATGTTCACTTTCAACAAATCTTTTTGCTGGGATGATTGATCGATTATGTGCCATCAAGTCATTTTTGACTCCTAACAACCACATAGGTAGCTTTCCTACTGGATGATCAGTGTCTGATCTAGTCCTTCAGGGCTTCCAACAATGCCTAATCCCTAGTGTAACTGAGCGCATCCCCCTTGCTGCTGACCCTCTCCTTCACTTTCCTTCCACCTTTATTATTATTATTATTATTATAATTTAATTTATATACCGCCCTTCTCCCGCAGGACTCAGGGCGGTGCACAGCGTATTAAAAACAGTACAAATACAAAACATAAAACTACAAACCCCTATAAAACCAGATTAAAAAACCGAATATTAGAAGCTGTGTTTCTATTTAAAATTCCCAGCATTAGAGGAAAAAACAAAGAAGAAAAATTCCCCCACTGGATCATTTATGACAGACGTGAATGCAAAACTCTACCACCCTTTCACAAGTTAAGAAAAAATGACTGGTACGGAAAAAACAACTCTTCAAAGCGTTTGCTTCCAGATTTTTGGGAGACAGCTTGGGTGCTTTAGGCAAAACCTTCCCAGGCTGGCGAGAAGAATAGGAATTGTAGTCCAAACCCTCTGAAGTCCCATTCCAAGTCTTCTTTACAGATTCTTTTGAGTGGGACAATCAGCCAATCAGAGGGAGGAACGGCTTCCAGGCGGAACTGAATTTTCCGAGCTCCGGAGCGAGCGGGGGAAGCGGTCCAGCGACGGACCGGGCCCGCCTTGCTCGTGCTTGCGGTGGGATCCCAATGGAGTAACGCACATAAAAGTGTAACGGAGCTGGATTTCGGCTTCAGTATCTTTCGGAGTGGATTGATCCGGATTGGAGCGAAGGAGGAGGAATCCGTGTAAATTTAAGGGGAGAGGGGGGACTTGGCGCGGCCTGGTCGGGCACAAGACCTGGAGTCGGGAAGCAATTGCCTGCTTTTAATTTCAGTTTCCAATGCAACATTATTAAGAGCCCGCCAGGTCGGTTCTCTGCCTTGTTGCAGCAGATGCATGATTTGAGCTTTTGGTTTATATTAACAAGCCACTAATGTTTTATTTCTCCGTCCTCCCACGGTTAAGCCTTGACTTCGTACTAATTCCTATTATTGTTTTTTGGGGGGTGGTTAGGAATTCTAATTGCAAATCCTGTTTAATTTTAAAGCAGAGCACGGGTAGTTTTGCATTTTTAATGACCCGAAAGAGAACTGTAAATAGTGGTATGACATTACCCCGGAGCAAAATGTATTTGAGTTAAGGATAAGCACCGTTCTCTTGCGGGAAAAAAGGTGTGTGTGTGTGTGTGTGTATGTATGTAATTTGTTTATTATTATCAAATTTACAGACCAGCCATCTCATAGAGTCTGGCAGTGTACAATTAAAAATATATACCAAACCAAATATAAATATACAAATATATTATATACAAATATAAATATACAAAAGGAATAGTTTTTCATATATTTATAAATACATTTATATGTGTAGATTTAAATATATTTTAGTTAGCTCAAGGCTGCTAACATCCAATACTCCTATTTTCCCCAGAACAACTTGTGAGGTGAATTGGCCCAAAGTCACCCAACTGGATTTTTATGCCTAAGGCCTGACTAGAACTCATAGTGTCCTTGTTTCTAGACCTGCACCTTCACTACTGCACCAAATCGACTCTCTAAATTCTCTATATTCTAAATAAACTGAGTATCTGAAGTCAGTGACTGGGCAACTCACATTGCACTAAAATACAAAAATATATAGTTTAAATCTTTTACACCAATGAAGCAGGCTGGTGGAGAAAACAAATTTTAAAGAATCCTTGAACGGAGCACCTGAGAGTTTTAATATTTTGGTCACAATAACATACTATAAAGTTATTATGAACATAAACGAAAAATGGAATAAAAGAAGAAAATCTGCAAAGAGAACAAGATAATCTACACAATGTAGAAAATGTCACCCCTACAAATGCTTATCAGTTATGTAGCAAATGAAGTTAGGCCTTTGAAAAAAAGATGCCCTAAATGTTTTTGTGTCACCTTTTATTATTAGATGAACAGGCGAGGAAATATCTGAAGAACGCTTAGTGCAACCTTTCTTAATGGAAGAGGTAAGACATGTGTTCCTTGTGGCAACAGATCTGGTAAATTGCTTAAGATTAAAGCAATATAAAAGACCCACAATAGCTAACTAAACATTAAGAATCCTGCAATTTTAATTACTGTGTAGGAGAAGGGAATATTAGCAAGCATTGCAATTTTGTCACAACTAATGTCACCGGGATTTAAAGGTTATTTGGGTTTCACAGACAGGCATGTGCAAACACCTTTTTTTTAAAAAAAAAAAAATGCCAGCCCTTAATGCATGTACATTTCCCATTGATCCAGGCTCCCAAACCAACATTTCAGGATGAACTGGAATGGTGCATTACTCAACTGGAGACTGGCCTTTTGCGTCTCAACCCAACTCCAAAACAAGGTAGGTTGGAAACAATAAAACCTAGTGGATCCATTTGAAACAGAGATATCTCAACCTCAGCATTTCTTAAGATATGTGACTTCAACACCCAGAATTCTCTTAACGAGTATGCTGGCTGGGGAATTCTGGGAGTTGAAGTCTACACCTAAGTTGCTGAGGTTGAAAAAATCTGCTGTAGAGCACAGGGGCAGGAAGTTAATGCCGATTTCTGGCAAAAAAAACCTGTAAATTATGGTCACATGATAGTGGGACACTGCAAATGGCCATAAATGCAAGCTGGTCAAGAGCCAAATGCAATCACATGACTACGAGGGGACAACCATTGGAACTTCAAAACTGGGCTGTAAGTAGCTCTGGGGAGGTCTGTAATGTTAAACAATTGCTAGGCAACCAGTCATAGGACTATCTATAATGCCAGGGTTTCATGAGTAACTGTTAACATTCTTCATCTCTGGTTCCTGAGAGCAGCTGATGAAACACGCCACATCCTTAGAGTATTGCGTTCCCGTAAAGCTCCCCTTGTGAAGAAGCGGGAAATGATGCACCACGCCTTTGGAGATTACCGTCTCAAAATGGCTGAAGAGAACGAGAGGGCAGCAAAAACTGGTGAGCTGTCAGGTCCAGTCTTTTGTGTCAGTCACGCACTCCCAATTCTTTCATCCTGATATATATGTCTTTTGGTTCTTTCCTGCTCTAGCCACCACCTGAATGTATTTGTCCCGCCTTCCGCATGTCAGTGATCCTTCCCTTAAAAAAAAGTTTTGTTTTCTTTTGCTCTCCTTCCTTCTTTTTATCTGGTTCGCTGTGAGGGCAGAGAAAATTTGCTTTGGCTTGAGGACAGATCCCTCGCACAGGATCTCTGCAGGTAGAAGGTGGGTTTGTCTGAAAGTTGCTCGCCTTTGTCCTAGATCCAAGCAACCTTGTTCCTAAACAAAGACACCAAGTTATAGAATGAAACATTCACATCCCGAGACGCTGTCATCCAGTTTATCATGATACTTAAAAGTCACTAGCAGCTGCTGCAGAGTCAGCCGGAACAGCCGTCTGTAACTTGAAGTGTTCCAGTTTATTATGATTTATAGCTTCCATTTTTGCTGCCTTGTTGGCCATGCTGGCAGCTGATGAGGGATCTTAACAACTGGAAATGTACCAGGTCCGGACAAGACTAAGCAAAAGTAGCCAGTTGCAGAAGACGAGTGTAGAATTCGGCTCCTTTAATGAACATCCAGTTTTGGTCACCACGATGTAAAAAAGATGATGAGACTCTGGAAAGAGTACAGAGAAGAGCAACAAAGATGATCAGGGGACTGGAGGCTAAAACATATAAGGAACGGTGGCTGGAATTGGGTATGTCTAGTTTAACGAAGAGAAGGACGAGGGGGGACAGGATAGCAGTCTTCCAGTATCTCAGGGGCTGCCCCAAAGAAGAGGGAGTCAAGCTATTCTCCAAAGCGCCTGAAGGCAGGACAGGAAACAACGGATGGAAACTAATCAGGGATAGAAACAATCTAGAACTAAGGAGAAATTTCCTGACAGAACAATTAACCAGTGGAACAACCTGCCTCCAGAAGTTGTGGGTGCTTCAACACTTGAAGTTTTTAAGAAGAGACTGGACAGCCATTTGTCCGAAATGGTATAGGGTTTCCTGCCTGAATGGGGTTGGACTAGATGACCTCCAAGGTCCCTTCCAATTTTATTATTATTAACATTAGGAAGCAAAGATAGATATTGATGAGACTGCTGAAAAAAAAAGGATGAAAATTACTTCGGTCAAAGTGAGCCCTTCAGTTTTCTTTTGATGAAATATCCATTCTACTTGCCTTATCTGACATCCAGCCCTGTTTTCTCTGAGATCCAGCCACTACACTAGCAACTAAGAATGTGGCCCCCCCAAAAATGGAGACGGTCAGCTCATGTGAACATAACAGACAGATAAGGAACCAGAGGAGGAAAATTTGGTGAAAGCTTCAGACATTGATAACATGGCAGGAATATACCTTTTTCTGTAAGGCTGTTGCCTGTTTCTTCTATCTGCAGATGCTTCGGGATGCTTGTTTGTGCTACTTTTAACAGCTTGAGCTTGATCTTCCATTAGAGAAGCAGGCAAATACAGGTAGTCCTCAACATATGACAGTAATGGAGTTTACCGTCTTGCTATTCACCTGAAGTTCAGTTGTGTGACTGCGGAAGTGGCCCAACATTATAAATCTTGGTCGTAAGTTCCCTTTTTGGGGTCTGGCATAACTTTCAATAATCACTAAGCGACCAGTCATAAGTCAAGGACAACCTGTAGCCAACTCATCAACCAAACAGGAAGAGAAGAGACCTTTATTAGGAGGCTGTTACAAGTGCAGCCTCTTCTCTACAGTACTATACACCCAGTTAGGCTTGGTGACTTCTGTAATCTCAAGCCAAATTCCACAACATTCGATTTAATGCTTCGTGTACTATATATGACGTATAAAATGTGGGTTTTATTTATTGAAAGGCTACGTAGCTTGGTGCATTGGGTGGAGTGTGCTTTGGTAATTTAATGGGAGTGCCCATGTTTCTGTTTCTGCCCTGTAGGTGTGAGGCCTGTGCAGGTAGAAATTCAGCAAGGAAACGTTCTTCCTTTGGGCAGTGTGGTGTACAGGAAGCAATCCAACTGCCCTTCTGCAGTGTCAACTTCCTTATTTGCATCCTCCGATGATAGCTTTCAGTTTAACTTTGTCCCACCTGAAAGAACCGCAGAAGAAACTGATAGAACCACAGCAGAAGAACATGAGTTGGGTGACTCTAGAGAACAGTCTACTGGTAACGGTCCCTCTAGGATGCTGGACTTCTCCACTGGAACAGGGCAGCCTGGCTTTGCTTTCAGCTTCATCATCCCAGATGCTGCTTCAACTTCAGCTGAGGCCACAGATCTTGGCTCCGGAGCTTCAGCAGAAGCAGCTCCAGAGATGGACATCCCATCCAAGGAAGCTATGGTGACAACCGAGAAACCAGCTTCTTCACAACCCGATAGAGCTGATGGGGTGGACTGTGGAAGCAGACGCAGTGAAGAACATCCTATACAAGAGGTACCAAGATTGGAAGGCACCCAAGTAGGTACGGGGGAACCACTAAGTTTTATTAAGCCTTGGAAGGAAATACGTACCGATTGATCTTATACAAATTGGCGACTAATTCCAGTGCGAATCCATTTGTTAGTAGAATTGGCTTTTATCTCTGTGCTACAGAGTTTAAAATAGACAGTCCTCATTTATCTCTGGCAATTGGGATCAGCAACTATTGCTAGGCAATGCGGTTGCAAAGTGGAACGTCACATGACCGCACCAGCTTATGACAGCAGTTGTGGCACTCCCCATTGTGGTTGTTAGGTGGTGGTGGTGTTAGTCGCAAAGTCGTGTCCGACCCATCGCGACCCCATGGACAACGTTCCTCCAGGCCTTCCTGTCCTCTGCCATCTTCTGGAGTCCATTGAAGCTCACGTCTCCAGCTTCAGTGACTCCATCCAGCCACCTCATTCTCTGTCGTCCCCTTCTTCTATTGCCCTCCATCTTTCCCAGCATTAGGCTCTTCTCCAGTGAGTCCTTCCTTCTCATTAGGTGGCCAAAGTACTTGAGTTTCAACTTCAAGATCTGGCCTTCAGCATTCTGCAGGTGTGTAAACGCCATTTGTGGCCTGCTTCCCCTCCTTGCTTTGCTTGTTGGAATCCAGCAGTGAAGAGCACAAATGGCAACCACATTACCGCGGAATGCCGTGACCCCATAATTGTGAGCCAATTGCCAAGCGCCCAGATCGTGATCACATGATCGTGGAGGCGCTGTGAGAGCTGCAGCTAGGAGGACCCTCGTAAATCCCTTAGTTCAGCACAGTCATAACTTTGAACAGTAGCTGAGCCAGTGGTCATTCGACTATCTGTATGTAATGCATTAATTATACAACAATGATTTCACAAAATGGGAGATACTTCTCCCTCCTTCCCTAAATTTTCAGGTAAGTGAAAGATATGCAAAGTAATATCAATCTGTTGTTACTGATGAAAAATAGCAAATGATTAAGGTTTTAAAAAATTGTTGGTACGCAGCTTCAGCAGAGGTTGCAGAAGAGAAATTGATGGTGGCAGCTGGTGCACCATCCAAGAGAAAGAAGAAGAAGAAGACCGCACCGTCAAAAGTAGCCCAGGTTGACAAAGGACATGGAGACAACAAGCTTGGTGGGCAAGGAGCGTCGGATCAAGCTGAGATGTTACAGGCATGTAAAGACCATGTTGAATGTGGGATAAGACAGTGAGTGAGTTAAGGCAGGGGTCTTCAAACTTGGCCCTTTTATGACTTGTGGACTTCAACTCCCAGAATTCCTCAGCCAGGCATGCGTGCCTGGCTGAGGAATTCTGAGGGTTGAAGTCCACAAGTCATAAAAGGGCCAAGTTTGAAGACCCCTGAGTTAAGGATTGGTTGTGAAAATCAGTGATGCAGGAGCATTCATTTGCCCTCCCATTAAGTCTCTGCAATAATTTACGTTTATCAGTAGATCGTTCAAGATGAAAAGTCAAGGGGCCACTATGGTTGCGTTTCAAAGTAGCTTGCCTGAAGGTCTTCAGATCTTCCACATGACCTCTTCCTTTTCCCCTATTTGAATTCAGTGGGCAACAAGCCATCGTGGGTTTTTTGGGTTTTAGAGGAGTGAGTTGTGTGAACTCAGCCACTCTGAGTTATAAATTAAGATTTCACATTCTATAATGCAGTTAAAAAAACGAGGGTTTAGCATGACGCCAGAACCAAGTCAGTACCTCTGACTTGAAATGTAGTTACCAAAGCTAGGGAATTCTGGGAGCTGAGGTCCACACACCTTAAAGTTGCAAAGTTTGGGAACCACTGAGTTAGAGAACTCTAGTGAGATAACTTCGAGAAACAAGATGGTAGAAGTAGTTTACCTTTCAATGCACTGCTGAACTAATTTTTGTTTCCCCTCCCCCTGAACAGCCAGATGATCAATTGAAGAGAGAGGTAGACTGGTGTGTGGAACAGCTGGAACTCTGCCTGAAGACTCAGAAATCCACCCCAAAACAGAGTGAGTTAGCTTGCTTGGAATCAATTGTTTGCTTATTTATTTAATTCAACTTAAGCATACCTTCCACCTCCAGCTAACTCTGGGCAGATCACAATAGATTACTGTAAAAAAAAAATCCAATAGAAGCCAAAACAAGATTGGGTTCGTTGGAGCTTGATCAAAGAGAGAAGCAACCTGGAATTAAGGAGAAACTTCCTGACAGTGAGGACAATCAACCAGTGGAACAGCTTGCCCATCGCTGGAAGTTTTTAAAAAGAGGCTGGACAGTCACCTATCTGAGACGGTATAGGTTCTCCTGCTTGAGCAGGGGGCTGGACTAGAAGACCTCCAAGGTCCCTTCCAGCTCTATTCTATTCTAATCTATGCAGAAATAACAAGGACATGCCCAGCAAGGAGTCCCATCCATCTCAACCCGAGGCCCAAGAGAACAAACAAGTTTTTAGGATTTTAGGGACCGCCAACAGGGTGAGGGTCACGTGGATTTCAAGGCAGTGATGATCAAAAAGAGATAAATAGTTTTTGCTACGATGGTGAATGATTCTCCATAGCAAAGAATCTTGTAGAAGTCAGTAGGTGGCAGCAGTCAGCAAACCTTGAATTATTTCAAAAACGACAAGCAGCAGTAGACCTGATCCATATTTAGATGGAAGACTGGGAAAGAAAAAAACAACATATCATATCATGGCAACAGCCAATCGCATCCATACTGATGCCAGAAAGAAAGCTACATTAGTCACCAAGAGTCAGATCTGAACTGATGGGGACTTTACCTTTTTCTTGATTGACTGTCCAAGCCAGACCTTCTCCATTCTTGATAGTTTGGAGCGGAGGAGAAGAAAAAGCCAGAATCATGTGGACATCATTTCTGCAGCCAGTTTTGGTCACCACGATGTAAAAAAAATGTTGAGACTCTAGAAAGAGCGCAGAGAAGATGATCAGGGGACTGGAAGCTAAAACATATAAGGAACGGTTGCTGGAATTGGGTATGTCTAGTTTAATGAAGAGAAGGACGAGGTGGGGACAGGATAGCAGTGTTCCAATATCTCAGGGGCTGCCCCAAAGAAGAGGGAGTCAAGCTATTCTCCAAAGCGCCTGAAAGCAGGACAAGGAGCAACGGGTGGAAACTGACCAAGGAGAGAAGCAACCTAGAACTAAGGAGAAACTTCCTGACAGTGAGAACAATTAACCAGTGGAACAACCTGCCTCCAGAAGCGGTGAATGCTCCAACACTGGAAGTTTTTAAGAAGAGACTGGACATCCATTTGTCCGAAATGGAATAGGGTTTCCTGCCTGAGCAGGGGGTTGGACTAGATGACCTTCAAGGTCCCTTCCAACTCTGCTATTCTGTTATGTAGGCGCTTTTTGTTATCGCAGTCTTTCCTGTTTTGCAGTTGTGGTCTTTCCCAATCGCTTACTCGCATCCTCTCACTGACCTTGATTGAACAATGGAACAGTCCTGGTTCATTTATTATTTTGAGGATGCTCCTTCCATGATTGTCAACATCCTGTCAAGGAGACTTAAAAAATGCAGGGTGTATTCCAACAATATCACGACATTGGAGATATCGAATGACAGTTCCAGAAGCAGACAGCAACCAGTGACAACTTAACCAAACTTATTCTCTTCTGAATTTTATCTTGGGGAGAAAACAGATTCGCTGCGTTTATTCATTTAGCGGGTTTTTAAAGTGTGTGTCGTATTTAATTGTCCATCCCCCTAAATACGTTGTCCTTGACTTATAACAGTTCACTTAGTGACTGTTCAAAGTCACAAAGGCACTAAAAAAAGTGACTTAGGACCATTTTTCACACTTATGACCGTTGAGCATCCCCATCCTCACTTGATTTACAGATACTTTGACAACCGACTCACATTTATGACGGTTGCAGTGGCCTTGGATCACGTCACACACACACACACACACACACACGTTCTGCGACTTTCCAACAAGCAAAAGTCGATGGGGGAAGCCAGATTCACTTAACAACCGGGTTACTAACTCAACCCCTGCAGTGATTCACTTAACAACCGGGGTGAGAAAGATCGTAAAATGGGGGAAAAAGTCATTTAACAAATAACGGAAATTTGGGGCTCAATTGTGGCCGTACGTTGAGGGCTAATTGAGGGAAAGTCACCCCGTGGACCTCTGAAGGAGTGTGCACATTTTTGCTGCACGTCCTGCTGAGGTGCCCCCAGGTCTTGACGCCCTTGACTTCTTCCACAGCGGAGGAAGCTCTCCGCGCCATCAAGACGCTGCGCAGCAAGAAAGCCGTGCTGGCGAAGAAGCGCCAAGTGATGCGGCTGATGCTGGGCGACTACAGAGCGAAAATGGCCGAGGAACGGCAGAAGCAGCTGAAACTCTTGCAAGCAGGTAGGGAGAAAGGAGTTGTTTGTTTATTTATTTATTTATTTATTTACTAGCTGTACCCGGCCTCGCGTTGCTGTGGCTCAGTCTGGTGTGTTGCTTTTACGTCCAACAGATGGTGCTATTTTTCAAAGCATGTTTTTACCTGTCACAGGTGTGACATCTATATAATAGTAGGTATATAAAAACACGTGCGTATTCGAATGCAACGTTGTGTCAAAATTTCAAAGCAATCGGTGAAGAACTTTTCAGAGATCTAAGATTTTGAACAAACGAACATTTACATTTTTATTTATATAGATTTATTAGACTTTTTAAAATCCCAATTTATTACTCTACAGGCAGGGACCAGCTTCCAATTGGGAAACAGCATTGGAATATAAATGTTGTATTGTATTCATTCATTCATTAATTCGTATCCCACCTTATTATTTTCGCAAACAACTCAAGGCGACGAACGTATCCAACGCACTTTCCTCCTCCTGTTTTCCCCACAACAACAACAACCCTCTGAGGTGGGCTGGGCTGAGAGAGAGGGACTGACCCAAACTCACCCAGCTGGCTTTGATGCCTTAAGGTGGGACTAGAACTCACCATCTCCTGGTGATTGGTCCAAAGTCACCCAGTTGGCTTTCGTGGCCAAGGTAGGACTAGAACTCACCGTTCTCCTGGTGATTGGTCCAAAGTCACCTAGCTGGCTTTCATGGCCAAGGTGGGACTAGAACTCACCGTTCTCCTGATGATTGGCCCAAAGTCACCCAGTTGGCTTTCATGACCAAGGTAGGACTAGAACTTACCAGTCTCCTGGTGATTGGCCCAAAGTCGCCCAATTGGCTTTCATGGCCAAGGTAGAACTAGAACTTACCAGTCTCCTGGTGATGGGCCCATAGTCACCTAGCTGGCTTTCATGGCCAAGGTGGGACTAGAACTCACCATCTCCTGGTGATGGGGCCATAGTCACCTAGCTGGCTTTCATCCCTAAGATCTAAAACTCACCTCTCCCGCTTTCTAGCCTGGTGCCTTAACCATTAGACCCAACTGGCTGTCTTCCTAAGGGTTAATATATGGAAGACAATATCCGTCAAATTACGGAGCACTCCAGTATGGCAAACTAGTTGCTCATTAGATCTAGTTTTTAATAGGTTGATGTTTCCAGAAAGAAAGTAAATCTAGAGGCTGTTTTCCAGCCTATTTTCATCTTTCAGATTCTCGCTGCTTGAGCTGGCAAGAGAATTTTGGAAAATAAAAGGCACAGAGAGAGCAGCGAATGTCGGCCTTCTGAAGTGTTTGCGTTAATCTTTCATCTCTATCCTTCCACCCCTCTAAGCTTCAAAAGCAGCTCACATCGCAGAAGTGAACGAAGAGACTCAGAAGAAGAGAAGCCAGGTGTTCAGGAAGTCCGCAGAAGGGGCCAGAACCTTCCAGAACCTCCAAGAACCTTCTTGCCATCAACCCCCAGCTTGTCTCAGATCAACAGACCCTTCCTCTTTTACATTCAGGCCATCGCAGGAAGAGTTCTGCTTCAACTTTTTCTAAGCAACCCTATGACAGGGTTTATGAATTCCGTGGTAAATTTATGCTGCACAGGCATACCTGATTTGACGTATTTTTCTATGCAAACGGTTTACTAACTGGTGCAACTGATTGAGAGTTAAGAGTCGCCTGACAGTGAGATGGGTGGCTTATAAATTTTATAAGTAAGTAAATAAATGAACAAGATAGTAGCATATCTGCTTTCTCTCTCTCTCTCTCTCTCTCTCTCTCTCTCTCTCTCTCTCTCTCTCTCTCTCTCTCTCTCACACACACACACACACACACACACACACACAACCTGCAAGCAGATGGAAAATCAGGCATGAAGATGTGAAAATTTATCATGGCTTTTTGGATACTCCATTCTTTAAATTCTTCAATTTTTTTAGAGGAAAGCCCAAGCTTATGCTCACCGGTGATTGTCAGCTGATCAACAATAACCAAGTTCAATTATCTTGATCTGCAAACTTTCTATGCAGAAATAGATTTTCCTGGCCTGGGGAGAATTAGGGCTTCACCACTCACTCATTCCTGTATGCCAATGCTCGGAAGCGCCGCTGATCTAACTTGCACGCAACTTGGGCACTGTAACAAAATCTGGATTTCAAAAAGGATTGCCCACTCTTTTGATTTACCAAGCTTTGCGAGAGCATTTGGATCTTGGCCACTGCATTTGTCATTTTGAAACAATGGGGCTGTTTCTTGGAGATTCCCACGACCTGCGCTAAGATCAGGGAGTCCAATCTGTTTGTGCGAACTATGGGTGACTTAAAACTTTGTTTGATTTTCTCTCGGCAAGGGAGCATAGCAAGCTCTTGAGCAGATCAAGGTATTGTTCCCATCGGATCAGAGTTCAAATAAACAGATCCAGGCTCTTGGTTTTTTTTTAAAACAAATTCATTTCTGGAGCAGAATAGGTCGTTCTCAGCTTGCAACTGTTTGTTTAGCAAGCTGTTTGACTTACAATCAGTCCTTACACTTAACAATCATTGCAGCATCCCCACAATCACGTGCTCAAAATTTGAGTGCTTGATATTAATGAGATTTGGGGCAAATCTATTCTTAAATCAAGTGGCACGTTGGATGAATCTAGCCATTATAATGCATACTCCATAGTTAGTCACTTAGCCTGATGTATGAACCCAACCATTGTCTACAGAAAACCAGCCTTTGGTTAGGCAATTGTGGCTATTTAGGAATTCTGAGAGAGAAATCAAGCACTCAATTATTTTTTATCATCCTGAGGAAATAAGAACAAACCAGACTTTATCAGCTAGCAGCCTTCAAATCAATACCTTCAGAAATTTTCTTCTAAAAAAAACTGTTGGAGGAACAAGGCATTTCTTATAGAATTAGAATAGAATAGAATATTGGAATAGAATAGAATAGAATATTGAAGATTAGACTAGACTAACTGAAATAATAGAATAGAAGAATAGAATAGAATGGAATAGAATATTGAAACGGAATGAAATAGAATAGAATATTGGAATAGAATAAAATAGAGTATTGGAACGGAATGAAATTAGAATAGAATAGAATAATAGAATATAATGGAATAGAATAATGGAATGAAATAGAATAGAATATTGGAATAGAATAGAATGGAATATTGGAATAGAATGGAATAGAATATTGGAATGGAATGAAATTAGAATAGAATAAAATAGAATAGAATTATTTATTGGCCAAGTGTGGTTGGATACACAAGGAATTTGTCTCTAGTGCAAAAGCTCTCAGTGTACAAGCAACAAATGATAAATCATGGGTGCCATATTTTCATTGTTAATTTATCCCAAGGGGTCCCCAAAAAAGGACTTCTAATATGCAGCTGGTTACCTTAGTTGGTAAGTTCATTCTCTAAAGTCGTCGTACCTTAAGTGCTTTCAATCATCTAGAAAGATGTGACTTACAGCAGTTTATTTAGTGACCGTTCAAAGTTACAACAATACTGAAACAAGCAACATCATTTTTCACACAACGGTTACAGCATCCCCATGCGCACGTGGTCAAAACTGACATGCTCATAAACGGTTGCCTTTTCCCGATGTCACGTGATCCCCTTTTGCGACCTTCTAAGTCAATGGGAAAGCCAGATTCACTTACCAACCGTGTTACTAACTTAACCACTGCAGTGATTCACTTCACAACTGTGGCAAGAAAGGTGGTAAAATAGGGCAAAACTCACTTGAATGTCTCGCTTAGCAACAAAAATCTTGGGCTCAATTGTGGTCGCGAGCTGAGGATTGCTTGTACCTTGAATTGCTTCCAAGTCCCGTACACGTTTGGTGATTTTTCTGCATCTCTTAAAACGTTTAGGTGGTAAGGAAAGAAGCTTGGCTGTAGGAACAGGCTATTTTAAAAGCTCTGACTGTGCGGTCAGCAAGTCAGGTATAAAATAGAAAATATAGGCAGTATCTCGATGTCGCTTCTCCTCCTTATAGCTCTGGCGTTCTCTCAACAGTAACCAAAAACGTCTGGCAGGAGCTCAGCTATGCCCTCGTAACTGCTTGCAAGTTTGGCTTGCAAGATTCATCTCCTCCAGCCAGCCCTTCTCATTCACTTTTTGGCCCTTGAGACCGACTTTGCAATGATGAATGATAGATAGTGACCCTCTTCCTGGATTGGCTAAAGATGGGGGTGGGTGCCATCTTTTAATTGGCCCATTGACTCGATTCCTATGGAATAGCTAAGTGTAAAAGGAGTCATAGGAGAAAGAGCTTGACTTCAATAGCCATATAAAGCCACTTCCTGACGAGCAAATATCCTTGGAGATAAATTCAAGAGATTTCAAGATTTTTAATTTCTGGCGGTGCTTACAATTCAAAAGGCTGGGTCTTCTAGCCTGGCAAATCATTTTTAAAAGTAGCTTCAGCTTATATGTTCGATTCTGCATGTATATATATTTTTAAAGGACAACATTTTTGAATAAGCATCCTTTGGTTAATTGGTTTACAAGTCGTATGAACGAAATCAAAGTATTCCGGACCTGATCACAATCATCACAGCTTAACATCTTGGATTTTGAAAATAAAACACAAGGCTATTTAAACATCGTAGGACTTGCATATCTGAAATATCAAAGGAGCTCTGGACAATTGTGGGAACCATTCCTGAACCTGGTTGATATTTTTGGCTGGGGAACGGATCTCGCTGGTCTGAAGGATCACCTAGCATTCACCAGTGAGCAGGGAAGCAGCAACGGCAAACCAGCTTTATGAGAACATGGAAACAAGCTTTTTTTTTTTAATTCATTAACAAACCATCTCAGAATCTAAGAAAAAGGGAGTCCTTCTGTAACTTGCATACGATTTGAGGTTCGGTTGTGTTTTCTGGTGAAGAACATCTAAGGTGGACGAAAGTTCTTTAAGCAAGGAAGTTCTAATTTCAATTTCCCAAAATATCCAGTGGAACAGATTTATTTGTGCTCTTAATTTGGAGTATTGTAAGTTTTTCCTCCCTACTAAAGAATTGTGAAAAGTTGCTCAACCCAGCACCAATTTTGCTGTTTGCTACGGCAATATTCAAAGTTCTGGCTGAAGTTGGGTTCCTGAATCTACTAGAATGGAAGAGTTCTGGGTTGTCTACCTGTGCATAATTTTGTTTGTCTTAATACTTATTCTGATGAAGCAGAAGCCAGATGATGAGATCAAGAGGAAGCCAGATAATGAAAAGCCTTCAACCTCCTATAGTCAGTTGGTCAGCGGTGCCGGAAGAGTTTTGGAATACACGGAAGAAGAGCTAGAGGCCTCCATGCAGAAGTTAAGCGGTCTTTTGTTTAGCCCAGATACCCACACGAAGCATCCTCACTCTGATCACAGAGCCCACCAGAGGGAATCTGCAGGAAAAGAGCATCAGGTGAGCCACAATAAAATCCAGATAAAATGAGATAAAGCGTAACAGAGGGGGTGGACTTCAGTTTTATGGAATCTCTGAGGTCCTCAGCCTTCAAGGTGTAACCAACAACAAGGTCACTCAGACTGGGGATACCTTCTCCAATCTACCTATCCACCTTTGAGGTAACTGCATGGATTGAGTCACATCTTGCATTTTTTGTTGTTCCATCATTCAACTGCTTTTGAATTTTCGTGGGTTGAAGGCTATCTTTTTCTCCAGAACTGTCATCCATAACTGCCTATGAGATTTCATAAATTCAGGCTGGTGGTATTAGGTGTTCTGCTGACTTCTTTTCCAAGTGCCTGCGATTTTTCCAAGCATCCGGGTCTTCTTCAGTTACTGTCACTTTCCCACGAAGTGTCCAAAATATTTAAGCTTTAGCTTCATTACTTGATTTCCAGCAAGCATTTTGATTTTTCTCAACTATTTTCTCCAACATCGCAATTCCAAAGCATCCAGGTGGTTTCATTCATGTTTTCTGATGCCCTAGCTTTCAGTACCTTATATTAGCATGGAGAAGACTATGGTCCTGAACACAAGTATCTAGGCAAATTCTGGGTTGAGGTTATTTGTGGTCCAGCAGATAGTGAAAAACCTAGACACTTCCTTTGCTGGTTGTATAATGACTTCTCATTCTTAAGCCATCATATAAGCTTTTTTGTTTGGGCATAGGATATCCAATGATGACAGAACTGTGCGTTGCTAACCTGGGCTGTGTATTTGCTCATCAGATTTAGCAGACTGTGTGAACCTAACCAGTAAACCACGATTAGATAAATTGCGTCTTATCACAATGTGTAAGCCCTATCTATAACCGGCCTGGGTTGCTGCAAGAAGATTCATTAAGACATCTGCATTTCATAGCCTATCCATATATATATTTAACAAGAGAGACGGTCAAGGTTGTAGAAATTACTCCTGCTATTTAACTAACTGCTTGCTTATTTGCAAATTTACTGTCTGATCTAGTACAAATCCTATCCTGCCTGTCTTGATGAACAAAACCCAAAGAGACTATTTGAAGTTCAGCCCAACATGAATGGCCATCAAGCCATGTTCTCCTAAAATGGACATCAAGATTATAGAGTTGGGCATGAAATATTTATCATGCCCTCCATATCTGTTTCAGCGTGACCCATTAATTATACCTTCTGATCCCTCTTGGCACAAGAAGGAAGACCACTAAATCACTGAACAGACTCATTCCAGCTTAGGTCTGGCTAAAGGCTCTGTGACCTGCAGGGCAGAAACCGTAGTTTCATGTAATACCTAAG